AAATTTTTTTCACCGGAGGCCAAAGTGTCGGATCTTGGATTTTTCCGGGGAGAAAGTCGCTCAAGGGTCACAAGGGTCACAAGGGTCAAAGTGTCAGATCTTGGATTTTTCGCCAAAATCGAATTTTTTAGCCGGGTGAACGTTGATTCCAACTATTTAAGCGCCGGGCTAGTCAGAACTGTCAAAAGTATGTGGAAAAAGTGAAAACTGAGAAACCGTTTTTTTTGGCCCCAGCCAAAGGGTCAGATTTTCGGGTTTTCCGGGGCAAGTGGATTTTCGCCAAAATCGAATTTTTTAGCCGGGTGAACGTTGATTCCAACTATTTAAGCGACGGGCTATTCAGAACTATCAAAAGTATGTGGAAAAAGTGAAAAATGAAAAAAAATTTTTTTCACCGGAGGCCAAAGTGTCGGATCTTGGATTTTTCCGGGGAGAAAGTCGCTCAAGGGTCACAAGGGTCACAAGGGTCAAAGTGTCAGATCTTGGATTTTTCGCCAAAATCGAATTTTTTAGCCGGGTGAACGTTGATTCCAACTATTTAAGCGCCGGGCTAGTCAGAACTGTCAAAAGTATGTGGAAAAAGTGAAAACTGAGAAACCGTTTTTTTTGGCCCCAGCCAAAGGGTCAGATTTTCGGGTTTTCCGGGGCAAGTGGATTTTCGCCAAAATCGAATTTTTTAGCCGGGTGAACGTTGATTCCAACTATTTAAGCGCCGGGCTAGTCAGAACTGTCAAAAGTATGTGGAAAAAGTGAAAACTGAGAAACCGTTTTTTTTTGCCCCAGCCAAAGGGTCAGATTTTCGGGTTTTCCGGGGCAAGTGAATTTTTGCCAAAATCGAATTTTTTAGCCGGGTGAACGTTGATTCCAACTATTTAAGCGCCGGGCTTGTCAGAACTGTCAAAAGTATGTGGAAAAAGTGAAAACTGAGAAACCGTTTTTTTTTGCCCCAGCCAAAGGGTCAGATTTTCGGGTTTTCCGGGGCAAGTGGATTTTCGCCAAAATCGCATTTTTTAGCCAGGTGAACGTTGATTCCAACTATTTAAGCGACGGGCTATTCAGAACTCTCAAAAGTATGTGGAAAAAGTGAAAACTGAAAAAAAAAAATTTTCACCAGGGGCCACAGGGTCAGATTTTCGGTTTTTATTTGGAACAATGGTCAGATTTGTTAACACTTTCATTTTTTATTTGAATAATGCATGCAAGCGTAGCGCTAAGAGTGGCTAGAATAGATTCTGCAACCTTCTCTCCTTGTTGGGTAAAAATTTCAAGCCTCCACATACATCCATCTCCCCTCCACCCTCTCGTGAAATATCGATTTTCGAGATTAAAAAAAAAACAATAATTGCATTTTTTATTTCAATAACGCACGAGTAAACAGGGATATGAACGCAGATTTAATATAGGCCCATAGAATTACGGGGACCGGCAAGGATTTGGAAAGTCTGAATACAAGTCCTGCTTACACCTAACAAGTGCTGAAATGGGACATAACCAGAGGTAGAAAGGTCTCGGAAGCACTTAGGAAGAGGCTTCCCAAGGCCCATCCAGTTCTGAACGGAAAGACCTAAGTAGAACTTGTCAGGTCCAATTATTCGACTCGGGATGAGACTCCGGTTTTATCAAGTCAATGTTATTGAGCAGTGTATATCTTTATCCAATAAACACTTATAATTTCCATGGGACAAATTATAATTTCAAGAGGTAACTACAATTTTTTGCCGAAAACTGTGTTATTGGCAAAACAAAATAATTTATAATTAATAGGGTTATTTCTGATTATCACAACAAAAATCTAATTTTTGTGCAAGATATTAAATTTCCTTCTATCGAGTTGATTAATTTCCCTCAGGACAGATGAAAATATTATCAATATAATATTGGATTGATTAAAAATTCAAGGAAGTTTTAAAATTTACGTCCTACTTCTCCTCGAAACTATTTAAATTCCCGCAAATTCCACCTGAATCTTAAAATCTCATAGGCCTTTTTCTCCTAAATCGAATTCAATGTCACTCTTCCAAAGACCACTACCAGACGATCCATGAAATTCTAATTTTTCTCTCACATCGTGATGCGTATTCTGCCGATTGAAAGTCAAAGTGTCGATCGAGGACAAGTATAACAAACTTTCAATTTATCATGTCTTTATTGAATCACGGAGTTCAAGGATGCAACGCTAATTTGCGAAGTGGCAAGATCAATTTGAGGAAATACCCATCGTGCTCCAATTACAGTATCTCTTTCCTCGTCGTCCATGATTAATTCTGAATTATAGTTTCGCTAATAACTCAGGTAGATTGAGGAAGGGACTAGCATTCAACTTCATTATCGGTAGCGTCATAATAGTACTTCATCCATGCGCTTCATTCTACGCGTAGGAAAGTTTAATTTTCATTATTCTAGTTATTTCATCGGACAATATTCATGTTCATCTAAACATAAACAAAAATCTCCCAAACTTTAATCGGCCAAATGGAGTTCCGCGTGCGGCCAAGATTAAAAACAATAAAAAAATCAAGTCAACAAAGTCCTTTACAAATATACGAAGTAGATGTCTTTGCGGATGAAGAGGGATGCCGTCTACAACGCCGGAAATCAAGGAATAATTGACATGAAACCCCTTNGACTCCGGTTTTATCAAGTCAATGTTATTGAGCAGTGTATATCTTTATCCAATAAACACTTATAATTTCCATGGGACAAATTATAATTTCAAGAGGTAACTACAATTTTTTGCCGAAAACTGTGTTATTGGCAAAACAAAATAATTTATAATTAATAGGGTTATTTCTGATTATCACAACAAAAATCTAATTTTTGTGCAAGATATTAAATTTCCTTCTATCGAGTTGATTAATTTCCCTCAGGACAGATGAAAATATTATCAATATAATATTGGATTGATTAAAAATTCAAGGAAGTTTTAAAATTTACGTCCTACTTCTCCTCGAAACTATTTAAATTCCCGCAAATTCCACCTGAATCTTAAAATCTCATAGGCCTTTTTCTCCTAAATCGAATTCAATGTCACTCTTCCAAAGACCACTACCAGACGATCCATGAAATTCTAATTTTTCTCTCACATCGTGATGCGTATTCTGCCGATTGAAAGTCAAAGTGTCGATCGAGGACAAGTATAACAAACTTTCAATTTATCATGTCTTTATTGAATCACGGAGTTCAAGGATGCAACGCTAATTTGCGAAGTGGCAAGATCAATTTGAGGAAATACCCATCGTGCTCCAATTACAGTATCTCTTTCCTCGTCGTCCATGATTAATTCTGAATTATAGTTTCGCTAATAACTCAGGTAGATTGAGGAAGGGACTAGCATTCAACTTCATTATCGGTAGCGTCATAATAGTACTTCATCCATGCGCTTCATTCTACGCGTAGGAAAGTTTAATTTTCATTATTCTAGTTATTTCATCGGACAATATTCATGTTCATCTAAACATAAACAAAAATCTCCCAAACTTTAATCGGCCAAATGGAGTTCCGCGTGCGGCCAAGATTAAAAACAATAAAAAAATCAAGTCAACAAAGTCCTTTACAAATATACGAAGTAGATGTCTTTGCGGATGAAGAGGGATGCCGTCTACAACGCCGGAAATCAAGGAATAATTGACATGAAACCCCTTCGAAAGAACGTATATTCCCTCCATGTGATATCAGAGTTTTCCTCAATGCAATAAACATTCAAGTATTGAAAATTGTCGGCTTATTTTTGACCAAAATTAAGGTTACATGGAATGAATTTCAAATTATTTTTCACTGTGGGAACATGGTAGTTCTTAATATGAGAAGTAGAATGCAGAAACATATCCGCCACACTCGAAAATTTACTTTTCATCACTCGTGCGTAAAGTGAAATTTTACGCACGCTCTGCGTGCGCAGAAACTCACTTTCCGCACAATGTGATGAACAATAGGATTCGACACTCGTGGAAGAAGTGTTCTTTGACCTGTGGGAGGGCGGCTCTTACCTTCGGCGAACGCTACATATCTCCCACGAGTGAAAAAACACTTTTTCATCACGCTGTGATGAAAAGTGAACTTTTCGGCACGCTCCGCGTGCCTAAAAGTCCAATTTCCGCCACATTGTGATGAAAAATATTGTTCGTAACTCGTGAAAAAATGTTTTTTCACTCGCCAAAAAAAACTTTTTTGCACTCGTTGGGAAAAAAACTCGTTTGAATGCTTTAACTGAAAAAAAAACCTCCGAAAATTTCGCTAGAAAGAGTAATTTCTGCTATTCCCTCCAGTAAAATGTAAAGGTCGTGAGGGTGTAAACTAAAGTTTTAAATCGTACGAAGAAATTACAATTTAACATTTCTCATCCCTCAATAGTAAAAATTGGTTAAAAAATGGAGCGTTTTTAGCACTTGGAAATTATTTCTTCATCCGTGCATTCTATACTGTTCTGTCCGTTAAAAATACTATGTTGAATCGTAAAAAATTAATTCCCATCGCAAACGTTCGGTTAAAATAAATCAAATTCCAAAGTTTCTCCGGTATAGTCTCGATTACTAGGTTCACATAGTAATTATCTACTTTGAATTCTCCCCATATAGTTCATAAGGAAAAAAAACTTGTGAACAAATCGCGATTCATATATAACTTTGTCAAATCCGGCAGAGACTCTGGTTTGAATGCTTTAACTGAAAAAAACACCTCCGAAAATTTCGATAGAAAGAGGTCGCGACACTGGCACATTGGGCTACTCTCCTCCAGCTTGCAGGATATGAGCAGAAAGAGATCAATGAAAGGTGGGAGAGAAACGGGGATGCCGAAAATTGGGAATCCGATAGAATGAGAGAACCCCGCCGATGACAGCCTGATATTGTTTGACAGCTACTAGCAATACAGTGTCATGTTGATGAACGACAATGATGCCAATGGCAACGATGACAGACATCAACACAAGATGAGCATCTATTTGAAAAGTGATGATAAAAATACGATGGTCATGAGGTGCGAATTGATTATAGCCGTCTTACCAGGTACTACGGAATTACCGGCCGTACAGCACAATTCGTGATCTCATCTCACACCCGTGTTTCGTCCACTGTTGGGACGGCACGAGTTGACTCGTTAACGTCGTTAGGCTTTGCACCAAATGGGCAAACTGCCGCGATGAAATGTCACGCTGTGGGACCACGAGTTAAGACGTAAGAGCGCGAAATGTACGATGTACAGTGGGGTTTACCGTGAACTTACACAGTAATACGAACGAGCCAGCTGCTAGGTGCCCTGGCTCGATACTAGGCCACTTCATAAATGCGCATGTGCCGTACTGTCGAGCCAGCATCTGTTTATCCCGTCATAAAGCTATTGCAGCGACCTACGTCGACTTTTCTACGTACCATTTTTCCAATCGATAAGATGCCACGAGTGGAGAGACTTTTGTACTTACCATGAGAGCCAACTTTTGTTTGCCCTGTTCTTTGACTTGGAAACCGAAGAATAGCGGAAACTGGAAGAAAAATATGGGATTTTTTTTCTTTCTGAAGCCTGAAAGTCGTTTTCGCTAACCCATAAGAAGTCCTTTGAACTGAAAGCGACTTTCTAAGTTCCCGGTGGGCTTCCGGAGCAAAAGTTGAAGGTCGATAATCGGGAAAATGGTTTGGATTTTTCTTTTCCGTAGCCTCTTCTGGCCAGGAATTGACAGCCCCGGCCGGAAGAAGTTACGGACCCGTGTCGATGTTTCAGCCTGGATATTCGCCTGGCGTTTTTTTATATTTGGCGTTAGAAGGACGGTGGCAATATACAGTAGTATATATATATATATATATATATATATATATATATATATATATATATATANTATATATATATATATAAATGTAATAATAATAACAATAAGTGTAATAATAATAGTAATAAAATGTAATAATTATAAAAATGAAAAATCAATCATTTGAAATAATAATAATAATTCTTTTCAGTAAAATATAATGATAGTTTTTTTTTAATGATAGTATTCTTTTTTTAGCCGTTACACTGATAGAAAAAACCTCTGACACGTAGAGTACAAGTTCTTGGCTCAAGAAACTACATCATTCGCGCCATTTTAACTGAATGAATTCTTCATGACTTTAGATCAAAGAAATAGGGGAACTTGGCATAAAGTATTAAATATTGGACGGAAAGAGCAGGAAGTTTCGCGTGCATCATAATGCTTTCCATATTAGATCAGACTCGCTGGCAAGAATCTCTTGGCGGAAAGTAATCTTGCTTACATTTAATATCAATCTGATGAAGTTTCTATTTTCTTGTGTGAAGAATTCGTACTTTTCGCTATAGATAATTCTGTTTTTCATGATTTTCGACAGAGGTGATAGGGTTTCCAATCAAGTAAATCGGTCCTAAGGGCACACATCTTCCTCTCAGAATATACTTCAATTAGGTAAAACTAAGAATCTCTTGTATCAAGAGATTCATGGTCAAAACCCCATTCTCTTGTCTCAAGAAACCACTTCTGTCGTGTCAGAGATTTTTTCTATCAGTGCAGTCGCTTTCTAAACCTCCGGTTTAAGTCCGGAGAATCTTGTTCCCACCTCCATTGTCAAGCCTTACACGAAGAAATTCTTCTTTGGGACCACACAATTGACACGAAAATAGAAGAAACTAAAGCGATGCAAAACGGTTGACGGTATAGATGGAAGTTGATGTATTTAAATTCAATTCTGATTAATTCCTGTGCATTATAATCACTAGAATTATTTATTTCTGGGACTATAGGATATTCATCACCTCCGCTGTCCTTCTAGCAGCAATTTTTTTTGTTTTTCGTCAACTAGTTTAGTAAAAAGTGTGGCTGTTATGGTTTGCAAAAAATGGATAATATCTACACTTCGATGTGTTCCCACGATGACGGACGAAGCGATGTGTGAATCACAATGCACGAAATGGTGCGTGAATATTGACATTCGTCGACGAAAAATTTCCGCATGTGAAGCGGAGGCCTCTAGTGCAGATATCGAAGTTCGCACCTGAGATCTGTGAAATCTCAGCTTTCGCATGCGAGAGTATCTTCACCAAGAGTAGAATTCCACATCTCAAAAAAATTGAATGAAAAATAATTGTTCTACAATTTGACGAAAACTGTATTTTTTTTTCAATGACCGAGCTGAGTTAGCTCTAGATAAAATTTTGGATGAATTTATCTCACGAATGGAGAGAAGAAGAGGCCTGTTTGCAATGTCACCTCCAAAGTCTGATATACTAATTAATAAACAAAATAAGTGAAAAGTATTACAATGTTTTGAAATAATTGGGGGGAACCAGGGGAAATAAGACCATTTGACCCTCGTGACCCTTGTAATTCCAGAAAAATTTATTCCACACCTCAAATTTTGAACGTTCCGCCGACCCTGATCTTCACACAACTCGAGAATAGGCCCCCTGTACTGGAAAAGAGACCCAGTTCCAGATAGCCAAATCCAGGTCTTTCACAGAATTAGGGTCATATTCTAAGAATTTAGGTATAAGTTATACTACAATTGAGCCCTCCTTAGCTTCGAATTCCCACATAAGTAGAACTCGGTAGGATTACTTAGGATTTAAATTTCGACACGGGAACGTCTACTGTCGAAGATAAGCTAGAATATATGTAGACAATACGTATTATTAAGGATCTTTATTCATTGGTATTTATCGTTACAATGGGTTGAATCCTATTTGAAATAAAAGTTTTCACATGGTTCTAGATGTATGTACAGAATGAGAGAACGTATCAGGTTAGAAAAATATGTTGTTTTTATGTTATATCATAGGGGATATTCTAATGTCATCAGTATGCAGTTTCCTCAGCGTAGAATATTGTTGCTAAACAGCTTATCAACTTACTTTGTCAATTTCAGAAACACTCTTCGGTTATAAGTGTCAGATTTTCATTGGCGCTAACGCGGGGTGACGTAAAATAATAATAAGGGGAATACCACAACCCAGAAACCAATTTCTGCTTGAGTCATTCAAAATCTTTGATGATGGCGACAGCATGTCGATAATTTGTCGACATTTAATTTTCTCGGGATGAGCGTTTCCCAAGAAATACGAAATGATGACAGCTATCAGGAATAATGGAAAAACAGATGAACTATCGTTGCACGCATTGCGTGTGTTTCGCACAGGTTCATTGTGGCATCACGCTAGCATATTTATCAATAATAAATTTTTCTCTCTTGTTCCAAAATGAAGATTGCTTCGTGTATCTTGTACATTTGCTCTTCTGAATTAGCGTTCAACGCTCACCGCTCTACTCTTGCCCGGTTAACGCGACGCCGTCTGCGTTTTCAATAATACAATGTTGTCACATTCGTACTAACGAGTCGAAAATGCAAGTACCTGAATGTGGCAACGGTGCAGGAGAAGATTCACAATTCAGGACGGCGAAGCGACGCTTTTCCGCACGAAACGTGCAAGAATATTATTTTACGTAGCCTTCTAGTATATTTTGGGGATGAAAACTTCTCCAGTCCCCTTTAGAATTTGACTTTTGAGGCTTTCGCGGCTATCATTATTAATATCATTGACTGCCGGATGGATGCCGCATTTGCGGACATTGCAGTCTGCATCTTCAGGGCTATGAGCTCCGATTCCGTAAAAACCTTAACAACCTCAACGGGGATAGAGGATATCAAGTGAACCCTATTTGGAAAACCGTCCTCCCGGTTTTTTAATTGACGAGCTGATCAATTCAAAATGATTGGCTGGCCCCTCTCCCATTCTCGCACCCCCCACCATCGGAGGGGAGGACATATAAGGACGACCCCCGTACATCGGAGCTCAGAATCGGAGGAAGATGCAGACTAGAATGTTTGCGAAACGTCGGCGCAACGCTGAAACCAAACGCGGCATCCATCCGGAATGTTCAATTCAGCAATTATAATACTTTCCATTTGTCTAATGATCAGTACCGCATATAATGAGCGAAATTGGAACAGAAACGAAGCCGCTCCGCGCCAGTTCAGAAGGCTTGAACGTACAATCTTCAAATGCAACGATTACAACTGCAATATCTGAGTGAAATAATCAATGATCAATGAAAAACAGCGCATCAAAATCACCGTGTGATTATAACTTTCATATCTGATTGTACATTCTAATAGATTGTCAGACCCGAAAGTCGAAGCTGCTAAATGTAAGGCTGTTTGGGCAGTATTTCTCCCCTTCTAGCAATCAAAACAGCCTGGTACATGTATTTCCCATCTCGCCATCACTCGGATTCATAGTCCAATCAAAACTTCTGTACCCTAGTGTCTCCGGGTACGGCTTTCTGTGGATTTTTTTTTCTCAATTTTTTCCAACTCCAAGGAAATCAAGTTTTTTAATGAAGCCAAGAATACAGATCATCGACCAGTAACGTCTAACCAACTGATAAATTTTCACATATCTCCAACCATTTTCAACCAAAATATCGCAATTTTTCAACATTTCTTACAAAACTAGGTACAATGTTATCATTTAATTTCAGAATAACCAAGTTCTCTACACAGACTGAAATTCCAACTATTATTTTCTTTTTCGTGTAGATACATACAGATGCCAGTCACGCTGGAAGTGTTTCACCGATTCTCATTATAATGCCCAAACATCCTCAAGAGAATGCGAGAGAAACGACATACCAAATTTAGTGCTATGCAGCAGACTACCGAGCTTCAAAATACTCTTCATCTAGTGCAATCAATTTTTTTGGGCGACGCTGAATACAATGATTAATCAAGAAATTGATGTTACTACCCCCAGAGGGTCCCACTCGCTCCACCCCTCCCCCATCCAAGTGCTGCAATTAGGGAGGGGTCGCGGTGAGCGATCAACAATTCATCTCAATTGCCGAGAATGATGTGATCACTGTAAGTTATTTCTTTTTGATACACACAGATATTGGAATTTATTTCGGTTATCGTAGACGTAATCTCTGTTTATTACAGAGTGTAACGAATTGATTGTGACCCAAAAGAGTCTCAACAAGGGCCAAACGTCTACGAATTGCAATTCCATTGTTTTCACGTTGATAACCGTTAGGCCAAAACGGTCACTTGTATTCCTGGTAACTTTCACTACGCTTGATGACACTTTGTTTATCATATTCTCTTATAACGTATCAGCAGCATTCACACATACCCTGTAGGTGCATTTTTCATAGATTACAAGCATACAATAAAGGAATTTCTACATGATCCAAGTTTTTGATTAATCGTTACAGACTTTTCAACGTTCATCTTCAACAGTCATGCACTGAGGGAATAAATTGGTTCTGCCGGAAAATTATATATACCGCCATCACACAATCTCACGTGGAATATACTGTTAAATACAAGCCATTCAACTATGAATAAGTGTTTATTGGATTTGGGGCGAAACAAATGATAAGAACAAATGAAAAAGAGTGACATGTCCGCTGACTAGGAACGAAGATAAAAGAATAACGAGTATGAAAGAGACGAGCGTACATGAGGGTAGTTGAGAGGGAGGAACAGAACAAATACGCAACAATATAGTCTTTCGGCAGAGCTAATCTTTCTCTCAGCAGGAGTTTCATCAGTGAATGTGAACATGTAGAGTACATTCTGCCGTTTTTTTTAGAAGACACATATTCTATATCCAAGGCCTGCAATAGATGATTTGACCAGTAACAACATCTATCTTGTTGCGTTGATAATCAATTCAAATTGGATATATATTTTCGTTCATCACACCGTATTTCTTATACTCCAGGAGATATCGCTATGTATTGCATAATGTAATACTGCTACGGCATGAGTACTAAATATAGTATATTTACAATTTTCTTTCTATCTACAAATATGCGTATAGCAGAATATCAAAATTATTTCATTATTGATCTAGGAATGGTGAACATTGTGATTGATGGCATAAATAGTGCATTTATGGATGGATAGATTTTTGAGATGGGTGATATAATTTTGATACAACAAGCTATCTTGTTCACAGATCAAGTGTCAGTATGATCTTGACGGCGTTAGATTTGTTAAACTGACTACATGAAAGTGAGAATTCTTCCGATCAACCATCAACGCTTCCACAATTGATCGTGTGCTGGAGGCAATCCGTCATTCGCATCAAGCATGCACACGTATTTGATATTAATTCATTCGATCAAGTGTGTGCTTGATCAGTAATGCGTATTCTTGTCGCAATTTGATTGGTACATCATTTTAATCGATGAAGTCTCGCATACGTGTGGTATAATATTTGTAATAACTTAGATCCTAATCAACTTACGGAATGCTTTCCGAAATTCAGGATTGAACACTGTGTAAATGACAGGATTGACGAAACTGTTCATATATCCTAACCAAGATGTCACAATGAAGGCAGCTACACCGGGTTCACAGTTCATTTGTAATTTTGTACAAATGGCATCCATGACGTTGCAGGTAAAAAATGGTACCCAGCATATGAGAAAGACACCTGTATTAACAGAATTGAACAAGTGATACTTCAGTTATCGGAGAAGTATCAGGTGAAAGGATAATTAAATAATAATGGAGCTATTATATCATCCTCTTACCGAGTACAATGGCTAGAGTCTTAGTAGCTTTACGCTCCCTTTTTGCCGAACTCTTTTCCCTCTTTTTCTTGCTCGCTTTGTTGGTTTTGTAAATGGTGAATCGCGAGCAACTGCCTTCGATTTTAGTTTCCTTTTTGCACAAATTGCTCGCAGCGAGAATGCTCGGGCTTTTCTTCAACTGTAACGGCAAAAAAGAGCTGACCGTTTTCAGTCTCTTTAGTTCCTGCTTGTTAAGACCATTGCCATTATTCTTCGCCTGATGAGCACATTTAGGGGGTGGGGATGATGATGTTGATGATGACGGGGCTGACGTGACTCTTGGGTTAGGACTTGGACTTGAATTTAAGTCCATTGAATCGTGAGGGAGCACTGAGACTGCTTCATTATCGTAAACTGGGTTTTTTCCCAATGCCTGGGCCACCACTCTGGAAAAATTTCAAATTCCAAAGATATCATCATTCGTGAGCCCGACACGGGCCTCGCTACGCGCGCGCCTGATTGGCTAGTGATTTATGCATATTATTTTCGATCATTATGTGTTTGTATATTCATTAAAAAGGAGTTATTGTCCGCTTTTATTGAGCTCAGATTTGAGACAAAATTTCAGAAATGATTTCTAAAAATTTGGATTCATAAGCTAAGATCAACGTGAAATATTCCCAAGTCTAGCACATGCTTGGCGAAACAGATTGCTGACTACAAATATTTCACCTATTTTTTAATGGAGGATGCTGTGATGCATTATTTAAATCAATTAACAGTGAATGTACCATTGCAATCCATTTAATCATCTTCGCGTAAATCGCGAATAAAGAAATAGCAACAGATTCATTTACCTAAGATTACAGAATGACGCGACATTTTCCCAACTGCTGAGATAATATAATTTACTCCAAAATCTTATTCCAGTGTTGCGAGATGTGAAGTTCACGTCTCATTACGGGTCGCTTTATCAGCGTGACACATTTTACGAACTCAACGGTGTTAAACTATGCACGGATACGCGCTCACTGATTGCTCTTTATGCTATTGCTGTCTGAAATACGGTGAATACAAATGATTAACGAAAAATTGAATTCGTTTGTCAACGTGGAACCCGACAGAGTCCTTAATCACCGTCGGAAATTTTCTGATTTCGTCTGAAAAAATTCAATAGAAAGCCCTAACGTTTTCTCCACGAAATTCTGTTGAATTTTTATTGAAACTGTAAGAATTCTATTGAAAATCTCTGTTTGTTATTTGCGCCAATTCTGTTAAAAAATTATGCACCTTCCATGCGCGTTTTTAAAGAGACACAGTCAAGGGTTTATATAAGCAACCATAGGGACAATAGCCCGAGTGGAAATTTCACTCAGTTAGCTTGGAACTACATTAGTTTTAGGTTGAATACTGGTCAGAATTTATTGATTAGACTTTCGGATCAGGATCTGATGAGATTCTGAATGGAGTATCTGTATCCATTGTGGCGGAGTGAATTGTGATCCTATTCTGATCAGTCAAATCTCGACTAGATCCGTATCGGATCCGGTACTGTTCAGGAAGATCGAATCCTAGAATTTTGACCAGGCATGGACCCAAACAAGCGTTACATTTCTGATCCAAAAGGGATCAAAATCAGTTTTTGCTGGTCAGTCTCTTATTCTATCCTAATTTGAATTTCCACTCGGGAGGAGAGTGGGATTCCCCGAATCCGTATACCCCCACTACGCGCGCTTGTAGAGAATGACAGGGTAAACTTGCATCACCTTCCATAGAATCGGCGCAAAGAAAACGATTTTTAAAAGAATTCTCATAAACTTGCAATAGAAATGCAATAGAATTTCTTACAGAAAGCGATCGGATTTTCTGTGGGATTTTTTCATGCGCATGTACCGTATCACCGAGAAATCTCCACAAATACGGCTTTGTTCGCCGTACTCGGAAGCACCGTAACTACTTACGAAACCCCACAAAATATCAGTTATCCTTCAATCGTCAGGATTTCTCAGCAGATGTCGATTGACCCGGCGATTATGATATTAACTCCCACGCTATCAATTGCCGACGTAGATTTTATCTGAGGTAACCTGGCAACTACATTGTGTTTGCTCAGAAAAATGGAACATATACTTACGTTGCTTCCTCGACGACAGTAGCCATGAAGCATTCTGTGCCCTTTTCGCTGAAAGCAGTGGGATCCAGAGGGGTCTCGTCTTCATCCTCGTTGCTACCTGAAGCTGTATTCGTTGGTTCTTCATGAACTGCACCGACGAGGGTGGCTGTACCTAGAGCCGTCTCGGCGAATCTTACAACAGAGTAAGCACTATATATGATTTTAAGGGAATTGGAGCTTTCGAGGTATTTCGAGGACATTATGTGGTCGAAGAATGCACGTGTGAAAAATTTTTATTGAAAAACCTGGCGAATTGGAAATTCCACAGCTTCACTGCGCGTGTTTTCAATACGAAATGTCAAATAGAAACTATTTTACAGAAAAAAATCAGTTGAATTTCGTTTTTTTATTGTTTTCTATTGAGGTATTTTTTTCATTGGAATTCCTTCACACGAATTTTATAAGTTTTTTCCACTCTATATTTCTTATCCTTTCTTAAACAAAAATTGAACGAAAAAACTTGGAAAATTTGAGGCGAGGAGATTCCACAAAAAATATTTTTCGATAGAATCGGCCAAAAACCAGGAGAAGAAACTGCTGTACTAAACATAAAAATCCATTGGATTTCTTTTAAACTTGTATTGAAAATTCTATGAGTTTTTGGCCGAGTCTATTGAAGAATTCTACAGCTGTACTGCACTTTTTATAAAAAATTTCTATAGAAATTTCTATACGATTTCCTCGACATGAATTCTCCAAGTTTTTTCTACTTCATTTTCTTTTCCTTTTCATAGAAAAACCATCAAACCAAATAACTTGGAAAGTTTGAGCCTAGAAATATCTAAAAATATCTCATTACTTGTACAAAAAACTTGAATTCTATTGATTTTTTATGAAGAATATTTTTCATTGAACATTTCCACTGAAAAAAAAAAGCAGATAAGCTGCGGAATTTTCCAATCAAATCTGGCAAAACCTGATACAAAGTTCGATAGAAATCTAATGGAATTCTCTTGAGAATTGGTCACGTGTTCCTATGAAATTTTTCGTACGTGTGCTCCTGCGAGGACTGTCATTCCACTCACCTCTGAGTGTGGACGATGTTCTCTATAATACTCCCTGGTTTCACGTCTTTTAAGTTGGATTTCTTATTAGCTCTCGCGCGGGCAGCCCGATTCCGTAGAGCCTGTCATTCAGAAACAAAAGATCTGGCTAAGATCTGGCCCAATACAATGAATACGAGGAATGCGTTGATGTTATTGAGATCCCGCCAAGTTAATAATCTATTGTATGACGTATTCTGCACTATCTACTATAAGATTAAACTTATCCCATCGACACTTGGAACGCTAGAGTTCAACGAACATCTTAATCACCCCTGTAGTACCTCTGAAATACTTGATTAACACACCTTGAATATGTTCCAATACAGAAAGACCATGATGATACAAGGAATGTAGAAGCTCGACAGGCTTGAGTAGATGATGAAGTCAGAGTTGTAGAATAAACACAAGTCTGGAAGCCGTTCTGGTGTATTGTTTAGGCCGAGAACAATTGGACTGCCGATTGCAGCGGAAATCGCCCAGACCAGAAGAATTGTTAGCCACACTCTCCTATTGTTCTTATGTTTGGCATATTTTATTGGCTGCGTGACTGCGATGTATCTGCAAAATGGAAATTTGTCTCGTCGATTTTTCCATTCTAGTCGAAGAATTATAATGAATGATCATCTTCATTGATTCGTTTTTTCATGATCTTTATTGGACAACTGAGCACAGCTCATTTTATTATGTGGAATATTCATCACATAGACATCACACTAACTGGAGATGGGTCACTCGAAACTAGTGAACACGTCTCTAAAAATTAGTGATAACTGGGGGGCGTAGCCTCTTGCGTGTTCCGCTCGCCAACCCCCATTTGACCCGCATTATTTATTCGGACCCTTGTGACTCTTAATCTGACCTTTGAGACCCTTAATCTGACCCTTGCGACCCTTAATCTGACCCTTGCGACCCTTAATCTGGTCCTTGCGACCCTTAATCTAATCCTTTGCGACCCTTAATCTGATCCTTGCGGCCCTTAATCTGATCCTTGCGGCCCTTAAGCTGATTCTTGTAACCCTTATTTAGGCCTTCAATCTGACTCTACCAACCGGTATTGAAACCCTTAATCTGACCCTTGTGACCTTTGTGGCCCTTAATCTAACTCATATGACCCTTAATCTGACCCTCATTTGGACCCTTATTCTAACACTCATGACCTTTATTCTAACTCTCATGACTCTTTTTCTGACCCTTATGACCTTTATTACGACCTTTGAGCCCCTTTTGGTCCCCTTTAGAGACGCTTATTACCCTTATTGGGACCCTTAATCTGGCCCTTGTGACCTTTATTCTGACCCAGGTGGCCCTTATTCTGACCCTCATGACCCTTAATCCGACTCACGTGACCCTTCATCTGACCCTTGGGACTCTTATTCTGACCCTCGTGACCATTATTTTGACCCTTGTGACGATAAATTTTGAAGTTTTAATTTCGAGTACCAAATTTTCATCACCCGAAGTCGATTTGGACTTTTTCAATATAGACAAATATCATTAACGAGATGAGAAAAAGCGATTTGAAATAAAATCCTTCGCTCGTTACCCCCGAATGCTATGGAATTGTCATTTTTACTGAATGGATATTGATAACTAATCAATTTATTTTAAATAATAAAATCACTGTAAAATGTCCGGAAACTTAGGGTCTAATGGGGCTCGAATAAAAGCTCTGACGTTCGACTACAAAAATAGAAACGCATTTCACTGGCGAAAAAAAGCCAAAGTGCTCGGATATCCTTACGAGAGCTATTTCTGTGAAGATGTATTCTCACTTATTGTTAGTCGAATATCACAATACACTAGTTACGAAATGTCGAAAAGGTCACGATAATAAAGTCATATTCGATAAAGTTGAAATTGCGATGAAGTAGTGAATAGCTCATCGATTTTAAAGGGCATTTGTCAGGAATTCTGCCAATTATTTCTGTAAATAGATGTCCAACAGTGTTCGCTGGACACTGGCTGGACAAGTAGACGGGCATTAAACAATAATAGAATCACAGTCTGTTCTCACCTGTCAATTGATATGGCGACTAAATTGAAGATTGAACTCGTGCTGCACGTAACATCCATCGCAATATAGAAGTCACAGACAAAGCTCGGTAATGCCCACGTGCCATTCACCTACAATAAACATAGAAGAAGTAATTTAGTAATGGAACTGGGTTACTCATCTGAACAATGTGAGCATTATTGAGAGAATGATGGTTTCCGAGAATGGGGGGGACGTCGGTTAATATTGATGAAAAGGAAGTTCTGAATTCTTCTTCCAACAAAAGAGGTAGGGAAACTGGGCTTTGGAGAATGAATTGATCATGAATCAGTTCATAATTTATGTCCTGAGGGTCAAGGAGCAGGTGCCCCGGAAGACTCATTGTGGTACTTCTTGTCGGTAGGCTGAAGAGCTATCGGACCCCGACTATTCTCCGATTTTCGCGGCTGAATGGCACGTCAGAGGGTGACCCTGATGGTGACCCTTGCACAATCTTTGCCTCCCAGGCTTCTCCCCCAGGCAATTACGACGCATGTTCTATGTCTAGCCGAAAGCCTCATCTCTCACCTATAGTGAGAATGGAGGGGTTTTCGGGGGAATAATGTATATATTTTTTGTCCGGGCCAGAATTTGTTCGACTCTGGCGTGATTGATGCGACATAGGCCTTATTTTTGTTTCCTCTGTGACGTTGCTTTTTTGAGATGTTTGGGGGGATGAACGAATTGAAAGCGTGAGGAACGGGGGCAGGCGGGATGCACTAAATATTTGGAGGATTTTTGAAAAAAAAAAATGTTGGGTTTTCTGAGGAATTGAATAAATGGTCACAGTTGAAAATTTTCGTCTGAATTTTCGGTGACAAATAGCGGAAATTTTTATTGTTTGATTTCCACTGAAATTTCAGGAAATCTTGTCGTCGAAAAATCAAATATTCCATTGATTTTTTATTCGAATGGTCTGAAGAACAATAAATACAGGATTTTTCGACTGGTAGAGGCTCCTGCAGATGAAATAGACATAAAACTCTGTATAGGACTGACACAAATAGAAAAAGTACTGAGAGATTTCGAAAAGCCAAAATGAGAGAGAAGGGCAACCACGGAAAAGACTCCGAACCCTATGTTTAAATGATCTGTGGTAATGATAATATTAGTGCTTGTGATAACACAACTACGAAATAAAATATTACTTTTATATATGTATTGGAGAAAGGAGCAGGTTTATGTAAGATCATCAATGAATAAATATCTATCTAATTTGCTGGATTTTTCAGGTCAACTATTCCATAGAAATCAAGAAAATTTAGGAAAAATTGAAAATGTAGAAACAAGATAACATGAATTTAAAAAAATGAATAACTAAATAAATAAATAAATGTATAAATAAAATTTAGAAACAAGATAACATGAATTTCCGTCTCACTCCCACCGAAAACCCATGAATTTCCTTGATTTCTACGCAAATCTTGAAATTTCATAATTATTTTTCCGTTAAATCGGATTCAATGTCACTCTCATAAGAATTACTACAATATTTCTTCCCCGAAATTTCGAAAAATTTCCAACTGTCTTTGAGGATTTTAAAGTATTCTCAAGTTTATGGAATTGTTGAATGAGTTTATGGAAAGGATCACGAAAGGATAGAAGACACTGCGAATAATATAGTCATTCCAAGTGTTAAAAAGAATTGTAATACTTTTCCGGGTGATAAATAACATTTTTATTCAATTTATTGAGGGTATTTAGTGCGAGAAACGGCATCGAACGACAGGCCTAAATTCCATCCTTTCAGGAATGTTTTCTCTAATGTGATTGGTGTAGGGGTTATATTGTGCCCCCCGATGAACTTGTTTTCCTTCGGAATTTGTTGGGGTCAGGATGAATTAAGCACATATTGAAGGGAGGAAATAAGGAGTTTTCCACACAATTTGGTGGATTTTTGAGAAAAAAATCTAGGGTTTTCTATAGGGAAATAAAGATGTTCGAGGATTCCTGAAAATTCTCAAGTTTATGGAATCGTCGTATCAATTTATGGAAAGGATCATAAAAGGAGAAAAGACACTCTGAGTTATAATGCTTTTCCGAGTGTCAAATAGAATTATAATACTCTTCCGGGTGTTGAATAGCTTTTTTATTCAACTTCTTGAGATATATTGGGAGCCTTTAATGCGGGAATCTCGGAGTCAATCGATAGGCCTAAATTCCATCCTTTCACGGACATTTACTTCAATGTGATTGGTGTAGGGGTCATTTTTTTGTGTCCCTTACAAATTAGTTTTCTCTCGAAATTTTTTGAAACAAAAAAAACAAAAATCTACTCTTTTCCAAGACATTGAAGCGGATGTCTGATGATTCTTGAAAATTCACAAGTTTCTTTTGCAATTTTTTTTATATGGACGCGGGAGTATTCTCAAAAATTTGATTGATTTTTGAAAACAAAAAACAGGTTTTTCTAAGAAATTGCAGACAATGAATGAGGATTCCTAAATATTTTCAAGTTTATAGAATCGTCGCATCAATTTATAGAATGGATCATAAAAGGAAAAAAGACACTCTTTCGGGCGTTGAATAGCATTTTTATTCAACTTCTTGAGAGATATCGGGAGCATTTAATGTGGGGAACTCAGAATCGATCGATAGGCCTAAATTCCATCCATTCACGGATATTTACTTGAATGTGACTGGTGTAGGGGTTATATTTTTCTTCCCCCTATGAACTTCTCTTCTTTCAGAATTTTTTTGGGGTATGGACGAATAATGGATGACCACATAGAAGGGGAGAAGTAGAAAGTTATCTAAACAATTTGGCGGACTTTTGAGAAAAAAACTCTAACGTTCTCCACGAAATTGAAGAAAATCCTCGACGATTCCGAAATATTCTCAAGTTTATGAAATCGTCGCAACAATTTATGGAAAGGGTCATGGAAAGGAAAAAAGGTCTTGCGAATTATAATGCTTTTTCGAGTGCGGAATGAAATTATGATACTTTTCCGGGTATTTAATAGCATTTTTATGAAATTTATTGAGAGTATTCAATGCAGGAAACTTGGCATCAATCGATAGGCCTAAACTCCATCCTTTCACAAATATTTTCTTCAATTTAATTGACGTACAGTTTATTATTATCATTTTTTTCAAGGGAAATTCGGTTGCAGACGATTTCCACAACTTCAATATTTGTTTCTTCAATCGGTTGTTGAAATTCCACAACTACTTGGTAAATTTCAACACATTAAAAGAACACAGTGGCAACATAGTGAGTCTTAATATGAAAGATAGAATGCAGGACCATACCCTCCACACTCGAAAATTTACTATTTTAAATAGTAATTTTAAGAACAAATAAAAAATACGACGTAAATCCTTTTGAAAAATTACTGCTGGCGTCGAAGCGTCGAAGAAAAGAGGTGACCCTTAGGATCCTTTAACCCTTCTGATTACTTCACTTGACTCTCGCGTTTGAACTCTTGACCCTTAAGGTCATTTGACCCTTACGATCACTTCGTTCGTCCCTCCCGTTTGACCCTCAACTCCGTTTGATCCTTATAATCGCTCTTTTCCCGTTTAAAAATGATCGAGGCCAGGTATCTTATAAGAAGCCCACGAAACTAAACATTCAGGAGGCGATAACAGCGCCGAGAGTGGGGGTAGGCCCCGAGCGCTCAGAGCTCATGATATCTTATAGAGAGGTATCTTATATAAAGCCTCGACTGTAGTCGTTAAAATTCCCGAAATAATTTCAGCGTGCGCCCCCTGTCAACAATAAAATAAACGACAAGTACTCACCAACACGTAAACAGCAAATGGCATTACAAGAACAGCAACGAGTAAATCAGCAAGTGCCAAACTGACGATGAAGTAATTAGTGACAGTCTGCAAGGCCCTTTCCCTCACAACAGCAAGTATAACGAGTACATTTCCGAACAGCGTTAAACACGGTACAATAACGAGAATCAAAGCCCACCAGTTGTTAACCGAGGACTTCTCCTGACTAGCATTGCACTCGGAATTAACATCACTAGTTTCATTAGTCGCGCCACATGTGTCATTAACTTTCGTCGAATTGAGACCTATTCCAGAGTCGTAGTAAGTGGTGAGATTCAATACACTGTAATTCAATCTTTTTATGTACTCATTGAGATCGTCGAAGACAAAGAGATTGGATATCAATGTGTAGTTGTCCACGTCTGTTGTGTTATCTATCGACTCAAATCTTGCTATTGTTGTTGCAAATGTTGAATTTGTTATGGTGTCGTTGGACCATTCAAACTCAACGCTGGAATTACTCAGTATTTCATTTTCGGATAGGTAGGTTACGTTATTTATAGCTGTACTGGATAGCACTCTTATCCTTCCACCGACGATGCCACCTCCTGGCGGTTCGTCCAGATACGGTAGCTCGTAGGTTCGCGTTATGTTTTCCTTAGCGAAAGCCGGATATCGGCTGATTATCTCCTTTTCCATATCTACCGGATATTAATTCACTGGTATTACGGCCCCTAGGTCTGTTTGAGCTTCGGTTTTGCTCTCATTTTGCGATAATTTAGCTCATGCTCTCGCGGGTTTTAGGGGGAGTCGGGAGGAGTCAAACATTGATACGTCTCGTGTACCCTGACTGCATAATTTTAGTTGAAGGTCTGAAGAGATCGTGAATTTGGAGGCGGGCAGGTGACACCGGGGGTCGGACTCAACTGTTTTAGGTCAGTTCCTTCGTGTGTACTGCAGACAGCGCTGGAACATAAATGTAAGAGTGACATGGAGAGGTGGCACTTGAAGGGATGAAGGCACCCCGCAAATTATTAATGAAGGAGTTGGACTTCGGTCAAGTTGAAATTGAATGAAATTCGGGACCTCTGGGGGGAAGTTTATGGTCGCTGACATGCCAAGCACTGGGTTTACAGTGGACATTTACTAATGTGGGGACTATTGTTGGTATTCAGTGAGAGCAATTATTAGTGTTTTGAATAATTGCTCGTTCAGATTTTCGTTATTTAGCATTTTAAGGATTCCAAGGAGTTTGGGTTTTTTTAGGCGGAGAAATGGTTCTCTAATTTTGTAGTCGAACATCAAAGGTGTCGTTTGAGTCGTCTTTGACCCTAAATTTTCGAACATTTTGCGATGATTTTATTATTTGAACTTTGCAGGTCTGAATTTAAATCTCGATATTGAACCGTTAGGAAACATTTTTTTAATCGGAAAAAAATTAGAAAGTTTACTTTTGGAGGAAGATTAATATTTCAACAATTTAAAAATTGCAATTTTTGAAAATTCCGAGCAATTCTATAAATAATTTATAAATAATTTTCCGTCATAATATAAGGTTTCCGCTGGTTTAAACCGTTATACTTATTCATTTATAAACAACGAATGTTTAACAAAATAATAATTCTGTGCAAAATGTACATCCATAATTTTTTTTCGAAGTTTTTTCACGCAATTTCATTTACAAATTTCATGATTGGAAATGGTTGACTCTATAGTGTGGCTTGTACCAAACTGTAAAAGCTACTTGGACATCCTTAATTAATGGGTTTAATTAATCCTAAACTTTATTTGGAATTCAAGTTTTTTTAAATGTCTAAAGTGAAAATTGCCCTATTTATTCATGCGATTTTTTATGAATATTTCATGGGAAGGAAGCAATGAATGTTGATTTTTCTAAGAATGTTTTTCTCTTGCAATTTTTTCTGTAAGAAATTTTAGACATGCATTTCCCCTCTTTTAATTTTCGTGGTGACAGAAAAAAAACAAAATTCCAAAAGAGTCCAAAAATACAGGAAAATCGGGTGAAGAAACGGTTCTTCAACAGATTTTTCTGTATTTTTTTATTCTCTCGCAAATTTTGCATTTTGTTTTTCTCCAACTGTGAAAAATAGACACTGCGTATTTTTCTATGAAATTTAAAAAAATCATTAAAATTTTCCAAGGAAAGCTCTAGGTTTTTCTATCGATTTTTTACGCCTTCTCATTTTAATATGGAGCACCCAAAAAAACAAGCTCAATTTTAATACTTATGATCTCAAATTAAGACTTTCAAAAATCTCATTTCAAGACATTTGAACTCTTAAAATGGCGTATTATTTTTTGAGTCAATTTAACTAGAAATTCCATTCGCTTTTCTTCTTGCGATGTCTTTTATAATAACTCTTGGGCATGCATTTCCTCTCTAATTTTTCCTCGCCTTTATAATGAAAAAATAAACGAAAAAATCTCGAGAGAAAAAAAATACCGAAAAATCACAATCTGTTAGTTTTTCGAGCTCACATTTGTCGGAGCGCAAAATTGCTCGAGAGAACGCAACGAAATTTTCAATGGTAATGGAACAAAAACACTAGAATTTCCCATCGGGAGCACGAGGTTTTTCTATCAAATTTTCTCCCGCGTCATGATCCTGGATGAGGAATCGATCCTCACGAAGATTTCTCATCTTTCTTGCCCAGAAAATGTCAGGATACGATGATCAGACCGAACGTCTGTGTGTGCATGGGTATGGCATGCGCCGATATCAGTTAGTAAAGTGTTATGTACCTTACCAGCGCGTTAGTTGTTCAATACGGCGAGCCGAGTATCTCAAACGTGATAGGAGAATTGCAGTGCTGCTGGCCGCCCGCTCCACTCACTCCCGAATTTACGTGCGTTGGTATGGGCGGGCTGGAGTGGGTGTAACCCGCTGAATGAGTTGCGGAAACAACTTCCCGATATCGAGAAATCCCGCTGGAAATTGACGAAATACAATAATCCCATGAGCTTTTATTCAGTTTCATTTTTAACTACATTGGTTCGAAGTGCAGTTGCAAATTGCCCGAGGGCCTTCCGCCCATCGTTTTTTGTTAATGGTTGTATTTAAAAATCGAGTCAGATGTAAATCATATGGAGCGATTTAAGGAGCATTTGAATTTTCAATGTTGGGAATTTGAATTCAATTTAAAATTAAATCGTTCATGCACTGACTGCAGATTTTTCTTGTGAAGGGATCATTTATATTTTGATGGCAGCTTGAATTTTTTAATTTATTGGAAAAATTAATTATTGCAGTCGTGACTGTTGGAAATAAAATAAAAATTTAAAATTGAAAATGGAAAATTGAGTGATATCTCCTAACTTGTATTGATTTTTATGAAATTGTGAATTTTCAATGGAGAAATTCCTCAAAATTTCAGTGGAATTGTCACTTGATAAGATTTTCCAAAAAAGTTTACTGTTTGAATTTCTTAATTCATTATGAAAAATTAAATATCGTAGTCCTGACTGTTGGAAAAAAATAAAATTTCGAAATCCTCGAAAAATTCCATTACATTAAATTTCCATTAAATTTACATTAAAGAAGGGAATTTATATAGCGTTCCACATCTTTTGTTACGTCATAGGAAATGATTGGATGGGATTTGGATGAGGTAGGAGGGGAACCTGGATTATTCGCAATATGAACAACCAGAAAATTAGTTTTCCGGCCAAAAAAAAATTTCCAAACTTTCCTGAATTTGCAGGGAATATCTGAACGAAAATTCACAGTTTGCATAAATTTCTTTATCAAATTGTACTGGAAATTTCAGCCAAAAATTTTCAAGTTTAGAAATTTTTTAAACTCAAATCAATTTTTTAATTAAATTTCATAATTTACAAATAGCCGAAATTTTAAATTTCCAACAAATTCACTTATCCTATAGATCATACACGCTGACTGGAAATTTTCAATAAATCAGTGGTCATTAGAGTATTCCTGAATTTTAACTCGAAATTTCGCGAGTAATTTAACAGTGCACGTTATTCCGATACATTAAAGAATTAGGCCGTCATCAGCCGTTGAGATAAAAATCGATTAACCTGATAATTGATATAATTACATTCTCCTGACTTGTTCGTACCCGAGGTGACGGGGTAGTTGTCAGTAGTATCGGAATAATCTCAAAATTATCAAGAAAATCACGTCCCAATTACGCGATGGCCCGGCGGCCTATCGCAATGGATTAACTACTTGCACTCCGCCACACGGACGAAAAAATTTCATTTACATGAATTGATTTCCAGAGAACTTTCCATTAGTTCCTGACCGATTCTATTAAAGACTTCCACAACTCATCTGCGTATTCCTTTTTGTTCAATCGAAATGTTTAACGAAAAATCTTCTATAGAAAGAATTAGTAGGAGATCAAGATGTTTTCTATAGAAATTTCTCGGCGCAGGTTTTTACGTTTTTTTCGTTTGATTTCTCAATGAAAAAAGGAAAGATAGACAGGAATAGTCATATCCATAAATCATAATTACATTAAATTCTATTATTCTATTGAGATATTTTCTATAGAAACTCCTCGCCTCAAATTTTTTAATCTTTTTCGTTAGATTTTGTTAATGAAAATTGAAGAAAAATAGAACGGAAAAAAATCATGTCAAGGACAAATATGCGCAGAAAATTTTATAATTCAATTCTAAAAATACTAAGGATTCATAATTCATTTAGAATTTTTTTCTCTTCAAGACGACTGAATTTAATTATTCGAAGCTTTCAAATACATATTTCGAGCTTTTCCCCACCTTTTCAATCATTTTTTCATTCGATAGCCCGGGGAGTTTCTCGTCGAGATACATTTCTCAATCTGCCGGCTGTGAAGATTCCCCTTCTCAATTGAATAAGATTAATGAATTTTATTTAATCCAAGGGGGGAAATCTTCACAACAGGAGAATTGAAAAATGTATCTCAATCAGAAATTTCTCGAGCTTTCAACGAAAAAATGAATAATGATGCGGAAGATGGGGATTAGTTTAGAATTTGCGGGTGAAACTTTATAGAATTTAAATTTCTTCCCGAAAAAAATCATGTTCAATTGGTGATAACTGCTAATGTCTTCGAACGCAAATAAAAAAATTCTCTATTAGTCAAATAATAGTAATGATAATAATCTTCATTTCGCAGTTGCTCCGCGCGCGATACACGAAGAAAAGTTCTCTAGAAAACTTCCCCTGCCGGCACTGGAAATTTTACTGAGTAGCACGTGAATCTTTCCTGTTTTTATATGTAATTTTCGCAGAAATTCCCGGAAATTTCATCAAAAATCCCTAGAAATTTAACAATAATATCATTAGAATTTTTTATAGAATTTTTATGAGGAATTTCCGTTCGTGTAGATTTTATAGACAAAGCCAATGTATTTATGAAAATAATTTATTCAATTATTTTCAATAATGAATTAATGAATAAAACAATTAATTATTGTAAATTTCCAAAGATTATTGGATTCTTGTTGAAATTTCTATTAGTTTTTAGCTGATTCTAATGAAAAAATCCGCTGATTATTTTAATAGAAATGTTCATTGGAAAAATTTTCTCGAAACAATCAACAGAATTCGATTTTTCAATACATCGTACTATTGAGATATTTTCTATAGAAATTCTTCGGCTCAAATTTTGCATTTTTTAAAATTTTTATGTTTGCTTTAAAGAAAGAAGATTTGATTCAATTTTTTT